AAACAACTTTGACATCGCTTTAACTGCCATGGCTCCATGCTATGGAATCCTAGGATTTGTAGTTTCATGAGCTATATAGCCCTCTCTCAGTGGCTGCAGGTGCCACAACAAACTACAAATCCCAGGATTCCATAGCATGGAGCCATGGCCATTGATACGTCGTCAAAACTGCATTATTTCCGCAGTGCAGATCCAGCCTAGCATTGCAGTAGAGGATAATTCTGTGGGGTCAGTTCTTGCTGGGTTCACTGGGAAATGGAAAACTAAGGTGGTCTAGTTGGACTGGATTGCCCTTGGGGGTCTCTTCCAACTCTGATTCTATGTTTCTATGAACATCCAGCAAGACACAAGTTGCTCACCTCTATCTGAGAACTGGATTGAGTTTTGGGAGGATCATGGTTCAAATCTCCAATGAATTATTATTATTATTATTATTATTATTAGTAGTAGTAGTAGTACACTTTTTTTATATAGCGCTGTAGATTTGCTTATAAAGCTCACTTACTGGGTTGCTACTCTCTCCTTCTCTCAGCCTGACGTATTTCACAAGATTTCCCATGTTTTCTGCCCAGAAAATGTTTCTTCCACAGAAAAAGTTGTTTAGTGCAAAACAATTACCGGGTATGTACGAATTCTGCTCAGGATAGGCTCTTTAGTGGCTCAATGGTACGGAATCCTGGGATTTGTAGTTTTGTGAGCTATTTAGCCTTCTATCTCAGAGAGCTCACAACAAGCTACAAGTCCCAGGATTCTGTAGCATTGAGCCACAGCAATTTCAAATAGGATTTGAAATTAATATTTGAGAGAAGAGAAAATCTGCCGCGAGAAGGAAATGGCTGAAATTATACGTTGCTTCCTTCTAGAAGAAATATGTGAGAGACTGAGGGAGCTGGGAATGTTTAGCCTGGAGAAGAGAAGGTTAAAAGGTAATATGATAGCCTTGTTTAAGTGTTTGAAGGGATGCCATATTGAGGATGGAGCAAGCTTGTTTTCTGCTGCTCCAGAGAATAGGACATGGAGCAATGGATGCAAGCTACAGGAAAAGAGATTCCACCTCAACATTAGGAAAATCTTCCTGACAATAAGAACTATTCAATAGTGGAAGACACTGCCCTAGAGAGTAGTGTCTTTCTTTGGAGGGCTATCTGTCAGGGATGCTTTGATTGTGAGTTCCTGCATGGCAAGGGGGTTGGACTGGATGGCCTTTGGGGGTCTCCTCCAACTCTGAGAGTCCATGATTCTGTGATTCACATGTCTTGATTTCCATCTATGAAGTGCTGGAGGGTATGTAGTTGCTTCGTAAGAAGCCAGCCTGCTTCTGCCTTCCCTCATTGTGGTCAATGAGCGCAAAGGCTTGACTAATAAATGGCTGTCGATTCAGTTTTGTTAACATCTGTTTTGGTACACTTAACAGTACAGCAGTTGTACTGTATGTTTGCTGAGATGTAAACCCCATGGTGTTCAATGGGCCTTGCCTCTTGCTAAGAAGCACTTTCTGAACTTAAATTAGGTGTTTGTAGGATGTGCAATTTACACATTGTACAAGCTGCCATTTGCACATTGATTTATGATGCACGCACAGCCTCCCATGAAAGCAGCAAAGGCAGGAAGCGGTCTAAAGGCACAGGATACTAAAAGCTAAGCAGTTTTGTTAAGGGTCTGGGCATTGCATTATGAGACGTCTGCCTACGAATGTCAAGCACAGTGCTGAACTCCATGAAAGATGGAAATATGGGATATAAATGAAATGATACATACTGAAATATACACACAATGCAATGATGCATACATAATATGTATGTATAGGGCAATGATACATACGTGAATATACTCTTAGTCCCTCTCTTACTAAAAGAGAAAAAGAAAAGAAGGGGCAGCGGTTGAATAGCAGAGCATCTGCTTTGCATGCAAAGAGTCCTGGTATGAATCACCTGCATTTCAACAACTAGCACCGCAAGGTCCCCTTTATGTCTATTAAGATACAGTTGCTTTTCCCAACCTGATACCCTCCAGCAACTTCCATCATCTCCAACCACAACAGGAACTTCACCAGTCAGAGATGATGGGAGTTGTAGTCCAGGGCACAGAGGGTGGTGGGTAGCCCTTGATGGATCAGTGGCTGGCTCCAGATAAGGCAGCCAAGTATGGCTTTGTATCAGAAGTGTGACACACCCAGAACATTTCTGCTGGATGCCCTAAAAGCACCAGATCTTGTCTGATCTTCAAAGATAAGCAGTGTCAGCCCTGGTTAGTCTTTGGATGGGAGATTGCCAATCCATTCCAGATGTGGTTGGTTGTCTTTCAGGAGAAGGAACTAGCAAAACCACTTCTGAGGATTCCTTGCCTGAGAAAAGCCTAAGAAATCCATGGGGTCACCTTACATCAACAGGTGACTTGAAGGCACATACACACCTAGAGGCAAAGAAATACTATATGGCTGTGCAAAAGAAGATATAGTGCTATTTTGACCTCTTGCTTGACAAGCAGTACCCCCTTCACACAACTAAGTATACAAGTAGTGTCCCCTTTCACACCTAGCTAAATTACCAACAGAGAAGCCAGTTCCTTTCCTTTTCCCATTGGAAAATAAATCTCTCCTGCATGGATATTAATCCTGTACGAAAGCCAGTGTGGTTTGAGTGGTGGACTAGCAATCTAGGAGACCAGGATTCAAATCCCCACTTAGCCATGGAAACCCACTGGCTGACCTTGGGCAAGTCACATTCTCTCAGCCTCAAAAGAAGGCAAAGGCAAAGCTTCTAAACAAATATTGCCAAGAAAACCCCATGACAGTGTCACTAGGGTCTCCATAAGGCGGAAATGACTTGAAGGCACACAATGCACACACATTTCTTCCTACCTTCTCCTGCGGCCTTCCCAAAGTTCCCTCTCGAGTGGATTTTACATTTACAGTTGAACCTGCAATACCAGAAAATATTTCTTTCCTCTTCTCCCAAAGCTGTTTTGCAGAACTTGGACGCCTTGTTGCAAACTATGGATTTTGAAAATGCATTCTCTGGGAATCTTAAATGGACTTGTCTAGGTGGAAGAAAAAAGACGCAGCTCCCGCAAGGACTTTGTCAGTGGCTGACTTGAGAAGACCAAGCCACTTCTATGAGGTTTTAATCCCATTTGCGTGCCCTCGGTCCACCAGAAGTAAGAAAACTGAACCGCACACGGACAGCTACAGAGCTCCTTGCATGCACTTCACTTTGTTGCTAATGCAGTTCCAGACAATTTGCTTTTTTGGTTTGTTTTTCTGGTCTTTTTAGCATTTTGCGACTCACCTCTTCCTGTGCTGCGGGTCTCACTTGATCTTCCTTCCTGTTCATTTTCAGAAGCTGCAAGACAGCACTGCATGGTACTGTGACCACTGAAACAAAATTGTAGCCCACGCTTGCAAAAAGCCATCTGGCTTGTAATGCACTGCTAGACATTGCCCAAAAAAACCAAACCCCAATGAAACTAGCGCTCAAACACATCAGGTGGTTTTCATGCCGAAAATGGAGAATCCAAATGGTACCCCCGTCAAGATTGTTGCACACAGAGCAAGTAAAAGCTGCTGTAGGAAGCAGGCATCTCCATTTCTGCATCATAAGAAAGATCAGGGCCTACTATCCCTTGCTGAAATTCTTCCCAGACTTGCTTAAACTCATGGAAGAAGGAGCTCTGAGAAATGGGCCCACCTGTTTGAAGGTCCTCAACCATCAACTGAATTCACCTGTCCATGCAATATTTTCAGCTCAGGTGCAGCAAAGGTTGGGAAGGCTTCACTGCTTCCTTTCCTTGACCTCACACTTAGATCTGCAAGACTCTTGATATCAAACCTCCATATTTGAAAGGCATGCAAGTCTTCAAGATGCTTCCCAGGGCAAGATAGTAGGATCTCGCAGAGATCCGGAGGACTTAGCCAGGGAGTGTTGCAAGCACATAGGCAGAGAGGTGCGTCCTTGGAAGTGTAAATCAAATTTCCCATATAAAAATTAAATTTGGAGCCACTTAGGTAACAGATCCACCACTCACCTGCTAGTATGATAAAATTCACCAAGCTTCATCTCTGGAGCTGCTGGGAAAATCAGTCATTACACATACATGTATCTTTATACGCCAGAGTTAAGAGGAGTTTGGTAGCACTTTAAATATAATGGCATCCTATAGAATCCGAGGATTTGCGGTTTGGTATGTACTTAGCATTCTCTTCTAGACTGCTCTGCAGGGAGGAAAAGAAAAGAGCAGGCTGAGTCTTGCCCTTCCCAGTAGGCTCAGGCAAAGGAAAACTGCTGCAGCTTCTCATAAGTTTGTGGCTTCTTCCTCGTTCATGATTTTTGCCATCTGAACCGCTCTCCAGACTTTTGTATCTGAACCACACTAGGCGAAGTGTGTCCCGATCTTTATCTGTGAAATGTTGGAGAGTGTTGGCCTCCCTGTTACAAGTCCGGCACTTTAAGCTTTACTCTGTACTGGTTTGGGCAAGTTGTAATGGTTAAAAATGGGCGTAAACCTTAAACCATAGTGGAAGAAAAAAAATAATCCAACAATTAATGTGTCAAGTGTGTACAACTGAAAAAGCAAATTGCAATAATTATGCATAGTTAAAATAATGGTTTGTGTGTTGCACTACGACTCTAAAGACCAGGGTTCGATTCCTGCTCAGCCATGAAACCCACTGAGCGACCTTGGGCAAGTCACATGCTCTCAGCCTCAGAGAAAACCTCCTCTGAACAAATCTTGCCAAGAAAGCCACATTATAGGTTCGCTTTAGGATTGCTATACATTGGAAGTGACTTGAAGGCAGACAACAAAAATACTATTCAAAATGAGGTACTCAGATATGCCATCAAATGGTTAAGAATAATTTATCTTAGATGGCAGAGATTAATCTTGTTCCTTGTTTTAATAATTGCAGCCATTATTTATATACTGGTCAATGACTGAAATAAATTGTTGTTGTTGAGGTACTCAGATCTGAGGAATAGGGAAACCCTAATTTTACCAAGAAAGCCAGGGTGGCGTAATGGTTCCAGTGTTGGACTACCACTCTGGAGACCAAGGTTCAAATCTCTGCTCAGCCATGAAACCCACTGGGTGACCTTAGGCAAGTCACACACTCTCAGCCCCAGAAAACTATATAATAATAATAATAATAATAATAATAATAATAATAATAATAATAAATTTTATATCCCGCCCTTTGAGATCAATCAGGGTGGTTAACAAGAATAAAATATACATACAAACTGTAAAATCAAATTCTGAGCAATGCATATCATTCCATCTAGTACACTTTCCCGGGCAAGAATTCTAGGTTATCATTTCTGTTGCTCTCTACAGACTGTGGCATGACAGTGTGCTATAACAAATCCACCTGCAGACAGGATGCCAGAAACCACAGGTTTGGGGCAGGGGAAGGATGGTTGTGTTTTCGGTATAGCATTTGCTGTAAAAGGAGAAGAGAGAAAAAATAGCCCTGTGCATTGATATGCACAAATCTTGCCAGGAGAACCCCGTGATAAGGTTGCCGTAAGCTGGAAATAAGTTGACATACAACAACAGCCAGCATTTGTATGTGTGTATTGTTGCTTTTTCATGTAATAACCTGACATGGCAGTCAATATGAACTACTAGGAAAGGAGCAATTTTGCAGATGTTATTTATCTATTTATTCAAAAGCAGCTTCATTTATCACACGGGGGAAATCCTGTGCAGAAACAGGATTTAAAAGCTGGGGGAAACCCGCAAAAGTGGGTTGATTTTCACACACATCGTTGTTAAAGTGTTGTTAACCCGAATGGAAAATAGACAAAAGCCGCTCTTTTTTTTACTTTCAGGATTTTCCAAAAGTAAAAAGGAGCAGCTTCTGACTACTTTCCGCTACATTTTGTTAAGATGTAGTTACAGTTGTTCTCAGTTAAGATGGTTCCCTGTTGTTAAAAAAGGCTTCTCTTTAGCTTAGAACGGCCCACAAACCCCCCAAACATGGTGAAAATGCCACCCAGGTCCCCCAAAAGGCATGTGGGGGCATTTGGAACAAATTTTCCCCCAAAAGCCCTCCAAGGTTTCCTGTTATTGGGTTTTAATTGTTTTGTTGATTGTGGATTTTAAATTGTGCAGATTTAATACTGTTTTAAGGGGGGGAGGGTTGGATTGGGTTATT